AGTCATTCCAATCAATTGACTATAAATGGAGTTAATTTGACTCAATATACTCTTTACTTTAACTATAAATATTAAATGAAAATTTCTTAATAATAATTACTGGATTTTGTGAACATTATTTATCATTTTTATAGGATAAAAAATATTTCAAAATTATTATGGCCTAAAGTATGAATTGATATCTTCATTTTTATTTGGATAATTGGCTTAATATAGTACTTAATAGTATTTTTAGCTGTGATTAAGATGAGTTTCGTAGACTAGAGCAAAAAGCTAGCAATTCAGAATAAAAAAGTATCTGTATAGATCTGAAACTCTAATCTGATGTGATTTAAAATAGATAGTTGCAATATGCAATCAAAATTAGAGTGTGAAATTATGATAGCCTTAGCAATAATAATTATGTATCCAATTTATTTATGGATTCATTGATTAACCCTACTAAATTTCTAGTATTGTTATGAGATACTTCTTGCTGTTTTCACCTTGTTATAAACAGCTAGAATTGATATTACTCTGGTCTATTATTCTAAGAATCTAAGTTGATCTAAATTAATCTATTTAAATTAATACATCCAAAATCCAATTGATTACTTGAACATTTATATTATTAATATTTATAAATACCTCTTCTCAACAATTAAATTTGTTTCTTACATAAATTCAAATCATGAACTAGTCTTAAATCTGTATATAGATGTGCAATTATTTTTATAATCAATAAATGATGCTTAAAATTCACTCAATAAATCAAATTGAATTTGGACTTGGACTAATTCAATTAAATTCAATCCAAGAACTATTCTTATTTATTTTCTTTATTATTGATAATTTTTATATTATAATTACATAGTCTAAACAAATCTTTGACGCTTGAAAATTACTTTTCTATTGATATTATTCAATATATGCAGTATAATTTAATTAATATATACATAAAATTAAAAATGATAAGAATGATTTACTTTTTCTATCAAAATTAGTATAAAATTAACCGTATAAATTTTCCGCTTCCATTTCATATCAACCTAATAAATTTGATCTAACATTTAAGTACTAAACTGGATAATAGATAGCTACTCACAAGGTATCCTTCAGTTTAGCAAATTTCAACTTAATACATCATAATTGAATATCAAAATCCTCATGCTTGAGATGTAATAATGTAAACAATTATTACTTTTGAACATAATTAATTATAAGAGAGCAGAGATTGACTTAAATATAAAAAAATATATTTCTGATAATTAGTATGATATTAGACCATTTAGATAGTTCGCAATTAAAATCTAAAAATATATATTATATTAATTATATTAAGGACATGCAAGATATCCCACTAGAATCAGACAAATAATAATTGAACGAGGTAAATAACAAAATTATTTTTGAAAAAATGAAAGAGATTTCAATTTTTCATGCCCAAATTTGTTATTCCTTAGCAATTAATTAGAATAATACTTTGATATTAGCAGTAGCTGAATCCGCTATCAAAGTGTATACTGTTAGTTCAAGCAAAATAAAATATGTGCAATTACTAAAATCTCATACTTTCGAAGTGTAAACTCTCAATTTTTTCCCAAATAAAATGGAATTCTTCTTATCTGGATCTGTTGATTCAAATCTAGTTATATGGTCAAAAAACCTTATGGCACAACCAAAAATAATTTAGAAATTAAATGGCCATACTTCAACAGTCTATACTGTAGTTATATATTGCGAACTTAAAAATTTGATTGTTTCAGGGGGGGATGATTCTACGATTAAATTTTGGACAACAAAATAATTAGATCTATTTTAATGGTTTTGTTTTTAAGCAATTTTTGAAGATGCTACTTAAGTACTCGCTCTGTCAATAGATAAAGAGGGATAATAGGTAGTTTCTTGTACTCTTAACTATTAAATCTTTGTAATTGAACAAGAATAACATTCCATTTTTTGGTATGTGAAGTAAAAAATAGATTTAGAATGGTATGGCTGTAAGTATTTGTTTCATAAGTGACAATATTTTTATAACCACCACAACTCGGAACTTGTAATATGAGAGTTTATTCCAGATAAACGAAGACTTCTGATTATTCATTATTAGAAGAAGTTGAATTGTAAAATACAGAATGGAAATATGATGATTTGGTTCCCTCTGTATTAATTTAAAATAAAAAACTTATTATTTAGTAAAAATGGAGAACTGATAAACATCATCAGAGTACATAAAAATAAAAACTAGGCAGCGTTATTTCTAGTAGAATAAACTATTGATTTCAGAGAACCATAAAGAGAATATATATTTGGAACAATCAGTAATGATGGAAATTTGTTGATAATTTGGGATGATAATTTCAAAAGAAATTTAAATTTATTAGTGGCCAGAATAGTTTGTGATTAAAGAGAATATTATTAAATTATATAATATTATATTAATTTTGAGTTAAATTTTAATAAAATATAGTAAAAAAAGGATTGAGTAAACTTTCTGAATAAGAATTGTAGAGTTAATAAAAAGATAAATAGAGGTTGTATCATTTAGGTTTTTAATTATTAATATTTAAGATTAGTATCATTAAATATTAATTAAAAATTAAGAAATATGAACAAAGTTCTAAATACTATTGAAAAAATCGATATATTCGGTGTTCCTATTTGCCTTCTATCTAATTCAAATAACTAAAGATACTAAAGCAAAGTTGGAGGAATAATAACAATTGTGTTAAGTAGTGTGAGTTTGGCATATTTTTTATATGTGATCACACTATGGATAAATAACTAAATAGCACCTAGCATAAGTTCAAAGTAAAAAACGATAGGGTACGCCGAATTTTAATTACCAGAATCAATGATTGAATTAAATTTAGAGGATTTCACTGGAGATGTTGACCCATTCAAAAAAGTGAATAATATAATTACACCTTTATTAGTGACATTTATAAATACAACTGTTTTGGAAAAACCAATTCCTTTGTTTTCGAATGACTAAAATCCCTATAGAATTGAATTAAAAAATGTTAACCTTGTGCTCAACACCTTGGATAGTTATGATGAAACAAAGAAATTACAAGAATAGCATGCGATTATCCTTGCAAGATGTTCAAGTTAATTTCTAGTTGAAGGCAGTAATTGTGCTGATTCATAAACAATAGATGACTATTTATCTCGATTTCATGGGTTTTTATTCGTTAAAATTAGATTGAGTTAATTAGATTTGGTAACAAAGGAACTAGAATTATTCAAAAAATTATACTATACAAGCTTTGATACCAATAAGCCGTAGTACTCGCAAATAATGTTAAAATAGCAATAATCAATAATCGATAATGGTATTTTATTTAATAATTATGAACACTTTAATTTCTTAAACAACTATGAATTGATTACTTAAGAGACTGACAAAAAATATCTTGCAAATACAATTAATGCAATGTCAAAATTCAATTATGATTTCGATAGCTATGGTTGTTATTTATTTAGAATTGATAACATTTCTATTGTTGAAGAAATAACATATCCTAAGTTAGGTTTTGTGTTAGCATAAATTGGATCTATCATCTAATTAATTTTTATGTTGAAATATATAGTGTTATACTATAATGATTAATTATCGGAAAATGAATTATTAAATGAAATTATTACAATGTACTATCCAGAATTCAAGTAATTTTCTGTAAATTTCATAAATCAGTTCCGATTTGATGAATAAGATTTAAATATTAAATAACTACCTATTGAGAATATGAAATTAAAGTATTAGGCACTGAAAAAAGGAGCAAAAGAAAAGTGTAGGCTAACCAATCTCCTTTATGAAATATCAAGAATATAATTTATTCTCTAAGATAAGTTTGGAGATTAGATTCTGTCATAAAGTCGTTAAATGGGAGGAAAACTGTAGAACATATAAATAGAATTACAAAGCTTTAAAGAGACAAATCAGTTATAAATAAAACCTGTAGATTCTATTGATATGGAATGTTATTCGATAGAACCATTAGAAATATTGATCAAATAAACTTGATATGTTATTAAATACAATAAATGAATATCATTATCAAAATTAATTTTAGGTTTAATCCTTTTCTTCTTACTTAACTTTGATATTTAAGACTGTATATTGGCTTCTATAAAATTTTAGTGTGTGTTTATTTCTATTTTGCTAATTTGGTTCTAAAGGATATAAATCTTTTTCTTCTATAAGGATAAAACTAAAATCTTTTCTGGAGAGTTTTGAAGAATAAAACTAGAGCTGAATTTAATGAAAAAAATTTTTAGTAAATTAATATAATAAAAATAATTGGGACCTCTTTGCAAATTAGAAAAAGAGCTTCTCAACTCATATTTTTTATTATTAGCAAGTTATTAATATTAAATGTAGATGATGGAATCTATATGTTATAATACATATACAATAAATGAAAAATAAATGTATAAGAATTTTGTCGAATTGAATTGATTTGGATAGATAAATATATTCACAGATTTTTATAGATGTCGGAAAATAGGATTTTGAAATCAAAAAAAGAAGATGGAATTTTAAAATATCAATTTGTATTATAAATTTTATATAACATATTTTACAGCTTCCAGGCGATTACAAAATGGAAAATTAATTGAATAAGATTGAATATATGATAGGTAAAATTATATTCAAGGAGAATTGA